TAAGAGGGCCAATCAAGACCATTTTTGTGGTTTTTTTAATTATGTTTAATTTTTTATTTATTTTAATGCATAAATACTTGAAAAATACATTTTTAAATTTCAAAAATCCAATTTTATTTTTCTTTGATTCCTCTGACCTCAGTGAACTCACAACTTGATTTTATATTTTTTGGGTTTATTTTTTATTTTTTATAATTATTTAACAGAGGCTTTTAACATAGAAAATTAAGGCTTTTGTTGTTCTTATACCTTGAAAAAATTAGAGAACATCCCTAATAATACAATGAATAAGCCTTAAATATTTCATGCAATAAAAATTTATATTTAATTTTCTTAGGATTTAAACAAGCTCTGGAGTATTTAAATAATTTAAAAATAAATATTATATATCTATTTTTTTTTATTTTTAGTCCATTAAATTCTCCTTTGTCTAGTGAATATAGGAATATTTTTCTTTTATTTTTATGATTTCTCTACACCAATATATATTTTTTTAAAATTAATATTTTATTTTATGTATTTAATTAAATAAAAAATCCTGATTTGTTTTTTACTTAACCATGCGGCACCCATTTAAGACTTAATACATAACACATAAATATTTTTTTCACATACACATATATTTAAAATTTATAATATCACATAAATAAATCACTTAAAACATTAATTCCACATATATATACATGTAACATTTAAAATTGATTTTTCACATACCAATACACTTAAATTTAATATTTTACATGCATATCACTTAAAATTTAAGTTTTATATACACATATACTTGAATTTAATAATTCACATACTTAGTGCTTAAAACTTAATTTTCACATTTCTAACACTATAATTTTACATTTACATACCTTAAGCTCAATTTATTTTTACATACATAACATTCAAACTTCACTTTTCTTTTGCATACATAATACTAAAATTTTATTCTTACATAATTCATACTCAAATCTTGATTTTTTTTTACATGCAAAACATTCAAATTTTGATTTTTCTCTCTACACACATAAATTTTCCACTCAAATTCTTAATATCACATAAATATATATATATATATATATATATATATATATATATAACATTTAAATTTATTAAATAGAGAAAAATATTATATGTTTATGATGTGAAAATTAAAATTTATGTTTTAAATATGTAAATACATAATTATTAAGTGCTAAATGTAAACATGCAAATACATGAGACTTAATTAACAAGCATATAAATATTCAAGTTTTAAGTGAGGTGTAAGATTTGAGCGTAAAATATTCAAATTTGGATGTCGAATATGTAAATACACATGATTTGGGAGTCATGCATGTACATATCAAAGTTTCGAGCGCTTATTGTGTATGGAGAGCGCACGCAGAGCTGCGTGGGTTCTCCGATCACAGTCGCACATCAACCCAAGCTTGTTTGATAAAGTGGGTCCCACTGTTTGTCATACAACCGCGATGTGCGGATGTGATCGGAGAGCGCACGTAGCTCTGCATGCGCTCTCCGGACGCAATAATTTTTCCAAAGTTTTCGCGTTAGGTATGTAGATACACATGATTTGGGTGGTACGAATGTAATAAACAAAAGTTTAGGTGGTATGTATGAAAACATCAAAGTTTAGGTGTTAAATATGTGAATTGTAAGAGTAGTGCGTTATGCATGTAGATATGAAGTTTACGTTTTAATTATGTAGAAACACAGAAACCTAATAGCATGTAATTAAAAAAAAAAAATATCATGGATATGTAAACACATGATGTTTATGTGATAAAAAAGAAGATTTAAAGAAGATTTTGAAAAAAAAGAAGATTTTGAAATTTAGGTGTTAAATATGTAAATCCATAAGCTTTGCGTGATATGCATGGAGTGGAAAAGTTTTTATTTATTTATTTATTTTTAGTTAGGGTGTTAAATATGTAAATATGCAGGAATTAGGCAATATATATGTTAACCAAACTATGTAATATATATACATACATACATAACTTTGCCCCTTTTTTTTTTCTTTTTTATTATTGATTATTATTATTATGTCATTTTGTGTTATGCGAATTTTATTTTATTTTAAGAGAATGGATTTGGATTACTTTTTGGGTGACTTTTAGTCTTTGGCATGACAATGAGTTGTACTAACCCATCATGAAGATTGGGCTTCATGGGGGCTTGGATGGACAAGTCCTAATCATGGGTATTTGGGTTAAGCATAGGTTTGAGTGAGTCATTAAAGTGGCTAACCACTTTTTGGGGAATCCAAAAAGGTGGTCACCTTTGGTCATAAGGGGTTTGGTGGCTTGCATGTGGCTTGAGCATTTTTCATGGAGAAGGAATTTAGGAATTTTGGGCATTTTATGTGGCTTTATCATGAAGTCAAATGTGAAAGAAATTATTCATGAATGTCATGGTCTATGGATTGATTTTTTTTTTAATTAATTGGATGAGGTGTCTCGTGATATGATGGAGTGAGCTTTCGATTTTAGAAGAAATACAAAATTAGGCTTGGCTTAGTGGGTTTTAGTCTTGGTTTTAAGATGTGGGGATTTTTGGACTTGGATGATGGGCTTTAGTTTTGGTTTTTAATGGTATTGAAAATTAATCACGATGGGCTTCATGAACGCTAGAATTTGTTGTGATGGAATTTAGGACTTGGGCTTGGTGAATTTGGATTTGGCAAGTTTACTCAAATTTATTAAATTTTGGATTTGGCG